GTTGGGTTTTTGTGTTTTCTGATTTGTTTGCTGTGTATGGTGAGCAGTCCTTCAGGGAAGCTAGTGCAGATCGAGCATGCTTTGACGGCAGTCGGGTCTGGCCAAACCTCTCTGGGGATCAAAGGTAACAATGCACTCAGTGTTTAGTCTGCACCCTTTGAAAGATTAGTCCTTTTACTCTTCTTTGTGATGTGGGATCCTTACTATCGAATCGATTTGCTGAATCAGTGATTAGATTATTGAAATATTAGTAGAATCTGGATGAAAAGTTCGATTTTTTTATTTCACCTCCGAACTGAATTGAGCTGAAAATTTTAAGAGAAAATAATTTGGGTACAATTTTTTTGATGGCTCAAATGTATCATCTGATATTTAGATGCGAATGGAAAATTTGGTAATGATATGAAAGGCACATTTAAAAGTTTGGTTGTTTAATTGTGTTTATCTGGTTACTGCAGCTGCTAATGGGGTTGTTATTGCGACCGAGAAGAAGCTACCTTCAATCTTGGTTGATGAAGCATCCGTAAGTCACTCATGGTCTCTCTGGATGTTTTCTATTATAAGTTTCAATTTTATGAAACCATCTTATATTAATATTTGTTTATGTTAAATCGAGTGCTAGTGATATAGCTTAGGGTTTGTGATGAGTCATATGATGATTACAAGTTTGTATCACTTTTAGCATTGCCAACTTAAGGACCCCCAAAGCGTGCTTCATATAATATAGATGTGCCTGAACAACATTTTTGTTTTCATAGGGTTGTTTCTCTTGTTTATGGTGTGATCTGCATAGTTAATTTTCCCCTTTCCTGTTCTAACAGTGTCCTTTTTGTTTTCTCTAGAGCTTCGTTTTACAATAAACTATGATTACTGTGATGAATTATAAATTGTTCCACTTTCTTGGTTTCAGAGTCACCCAGGTTTTCTCTCCTAAGATGTTCATTTCTGATGATATTTACTTTCTTTGGCCAGGTTCAAAAAATACAGAGTTTGACGCCAAATATTGGACTTGTTTACAGGTTTGCTTTCTGGCCAATTCCTGTAATGAGACCAGTTTTTTACCGAGTTTCATAAAGACGATGTTGCATCTAGTAGCTAGTAGTTAGTGTAAGGATGATTAAATGATGCTTCGTTTTGTGGACTTTCTAGTCATTAGTCCTTACTCTTCTTGTAAAGTTCTTTAACCTTTGACCCTGTAACATGGTTTACAAGGTCATGTGTATTAGAGACTTGGGTATAATACCATAAAGCTAGCATTAGAAAGCTCAACCTAGAGGACTGGTATATCGAGTTACCTACAATTTCAAGAGAAACACTAGTTTTCTTTTCTTAGTGTTACTTGTGAGGAATTGTCCCCCCTATTTAGCTTAAGTATTTACTCTACTGATGAATTCAGACATTGAATTTAGAGAAACTTGATCAGCTTTCTACTGTGATATATAGACTCTAAAGGATCATATTATCGATGTGAGTATGGGACTTGTGTTGGATATGCAATACTGTGTGATAAGTATGATTCTAAATGAAGAAAAATAGAGAACATTGCATGCATGAACTTGCATTTGGAATTTTGGAGACTACAATTCTGGCTCCTGAATGATCACGTTTGGATTGACATGAGGCCTGACTATTGTATTTTGACAGCAGTTTCAGCGTCCTAATATTTTGTGGCTTTGTTGAATCTTTTATTTGTTGTCATTCAGTATGTAGTTATTCTTACCCTTACTCTCCTGCAGTGGCATGGGTCCTGATTTTCGAGTCTTGGTTCGAAAAAGCAGGAAACAGGCAGAACAGTATCACAGATTATATAAGGTACTGATTTTTTCTTCTCTTCTATTTGATCCTTTTTTTTAAGGTGATGTGACAAATGTTCATCATTCCCTTATCATGTTCTTCCGAACTATAAGAATAAGATGTTCTTGTCTATTGAGAAGGTTATAACTTGTGTAAAGCAATCATGTTTCTAGGAACCTATCCCTGTTACTCAACTTGTGAGGGAAACTGCAGCTGTTATGCAGGAGTTCACTCAATCTGGGTAATTAACACACTTTCTGTATCTATATAAACTGTGGTTCATTATACACAAGGCCTATGCCCATTTTCTCACTTTGAGAAATTTTTTGCCCATATCTGAAACCAATTGTCTCTAGATGATGTTAGCTTTTTAATGATTGTTGCATACATGGTAAACACTTTGTATTCAAGTTTTACAGGTGTAAGGTGCTCTTTGCATGGGTGGCTGTTTCTCAAACATTTGGACCCACAATAATTTTATGGTTGCTCAAATAAGTTTTTTAAGCATTGAGTACCAAGTACCTTAGTGAATATTTCTTGTATGAAGATATTTATTATTGGATCCTTTTCCAAAATCTTTAGCTTTTGGACTTGTAAACTAAAACACTTCACTACAATATTGCAATTCTTGGGCAGCAGAACAAGATATAGCTCATGTGTGTGATTGAGTGAGATGAGAGAATATAAAAGGTGATAAATTATGAGAATTGAGAAGTATAACTTATGAAAATTCATAGTAAAGGTTTCTGATTGTGATATTTATTATTTTAAGGTAATTGCAGCTGAGTTTGGGTAGTTGAACTTGAAGATGAGTAACTGAAGGATATTCATGTTAAAATTTACTGAAATAGTTTTCTTTCCTTTGTTGGTAGTGGTGTAAGGCCATTCGGAGTATCTCTTCTGGTTGCTGGGTTTGATGACAGTGGTCCCCAACTATACCAGGTATTTTCAGTTTCCAATGTGTTATTTTCTTGTAAATTTTTTCCCTATTTGTTGTTTCTGGTTGCAAATTATGATGCCATCTAAGGAAAGAACATTTCAATTTAAATTTAACAGAGTTTGGAAGAAATTCTTGTAGCATATTTAGTTGGGTCGCTGCTCAATATTTAGTTTTGTTTCGTTAAACAATTGTTTTTTTCCGTTGTAGAAATATCTAATATGTGGAATATGTTACTTTCAAAAAAAATTGGGTTGTTAAGTTGACTATTAGTAATCTTGCTTGAGCTGAATTAATCATTTCAACCTCTTCATGCAATGGGTTGTGTTAAGAAACTGCTGTTTGCTTTTAGTTTTCTTGGATCATAATTCTATTTTGGATGGTCGGAGAGGAGAAACTGCTGTCAGGAATAGTAGTGTTAAGAAAATTATATTTTGTCCTATGTTGACAGTAATATGATATCTAATTCTGCAACCATTGTTATTTCTAATTTATATTAATTCTGCAACTATTGTTATTTCTAATTTATATTTCCCTGTAGGTTGATCCTTCCGGTTCATATTTCTCATGGAAAGCGTCTGCAATGGGGAAGAATGTCTCAAATGCAAAAACTTTTCTTGAGAAGAGGTACTCAGACATGTATTTTTGTTTTCGGTCGAACACTTGGACATGGTTTATGCTGGATACTTTTAACCTAAAATTTCAGTCTCAATTTTTTTTAGTCCTCAAAGGTGAAGTGTGTCTCATTATTATTCTTTTGTAATAGGTATACTGAAGATATGGAGCTTGATGATGCTGTGCACACGGCTATTTTGACTTTGAAGGAGGGGTATATATACATAACTGTTAACTTCCGGAACTTATTTATTTATTCTTTTATGAATACGTAATGCTTAGGAGCCACAGAAAGAGGAAGAAACTTTGTTATCTGTTAGCGGTATAAGTAGTTGCTTTATATTTGATGCAGATTTGAAGGACAAATCTCAGGAAAAAACATTGAGATTGGGATAATTGGCACAGACAAAAAGTTCAGGTGAGCTCCATCGTTTCTTCCTGCTAAGGCATCTTTTCTCTTAATTCCTTTCACTGAAAGATATTTTTCATTGCATAAAGTACTTTATCAAGATATAGGGTGCATGTAAACATGCATGTGACATTCAAAATCCGATGAAAAAAATATAGTTTTATGCCAACGTGTTAGGAAAGAGAATCCTTCACCCCCTACTCTTATTTAGGTCCAAGGAGCCAACTTACTCAACTCTTAGCTAAAGTGCTAAAGGATTAGCTTTGATTTCTCAAAATTGAAAGTATTTTCCGCCTCTTTAAAGAAGGCGTAACTACATCTGGACTGTTTTTGGACCCCAAACCTTTGTTTTTAGTGTACTTGGTATAGACACCGGAGAGATGAACCGATAGGTGTGCGCCAAACCTGTGACACCGCGCCAGAGTCCTTGAGCCATACAGGATGGCAGCAAATTCGTTTTCATTATAGCTAATTTGAGTTGCTACTGCCCTTCAAAACATTGTTTTTACTTCTAAATGATTGCTCATTGCTCATTGTGTGTATCTCTAACTAGTTGTGCTCACCTTGTTGCAGAGTGCTAACCCCAGCAGAGATTGAAGATTATTTGGCTGAGGTGGAGTAGTGTGTGCCTGTTACTGCAGAAACTTCAAAAACATTACTTTTAAAAATTTCCCAATTTATGTTGCAAGATAGTTACATATTTTGGCAAAAATGATTTGGTACACGATTTCATGCGGGCGGGTGAATCTTCATGAACCGAACCACAAACTTATCGAGCTCAAGCAGGCATTACATTGCCACCATTTTAGCCTTAAGCCTTACAAATCCTTGACTCGTTGCGAACAGCTTTGAACTTATTGGCCCCAAAATTTGTACTCTTTTTTATGAACTCTGCATGTATGAATTGAATATGGAACTTCCATCTGTTCGTTGCCAGTCCCAGTATCTGACAGTTGAGAATGAATTACTTCACGCCCGCATGCTTTCCCGAATACTCAACACAACATCGTCATTCTTTGATATTCGAACTTGACATCTCTTTCACATGGAGAGAAGTACTGCTAGACTAAGAATTAGTTGGTCACCGTCATTAAATCCCAAAACGACCGACCTTTTTAACAAAAAGGCATGTCATAAAATGAATCAATAGATGGTTGTATTTATATTTTAGCAAGAGAGTAAAATTTGGAGTGAAGCTAAGGTGGGTACATAAGAACAAGAGAATGAGAAAATAAAGATAAGAGATATACTCTCCTTTATATATCTAAGGTGTGAGATTTTTTGAAATTTATACGTTTTGTCCTCACCTACCTGCATGCCATCAAACACTATCTTCTTCTCACAAACTGGAAAGCTCCTCCTTCTTCTCCAATTTCCAAACATTCATGTGAGCTCCTTCTTCCTTCACCCACTCTCTGTCTGTCTGCATACAGGATTTTCTCCGGTGTCCCGGAGTACAAAAATCAAAGATCTAACGGTTAAAATGTCCGGAGCACCATAAATTTTTTTGTCTGCATACATTACTGTTCTACCATTTCTTGTTACTGGTTTTTGAGTCTGTTAAACTTCTCTCATTCCGGATTGTTGGTTTCTATGGGATTTAACGGATTCTTCGAATCGGGTGTGCATGAAAATTGTGTTAAATTTCATGGAAATTTAATTTAATTTAATTTAAGAGCTACTTAGTTTGTGTTGATCACTTGTATGCACTATACTTTCTGAGGTATGTAAGTTGATTCGAATGAGCATTCCGATGGTTGATAGAAATTTCATTTGATGGCATGCATAGGTTGATCGCTGAACGCGCCATTAGTTATATTTTTGTGGCGCCAAGAAGCTGCAAGAGTGATGCAAGATGGAAAGCCAAGAGTTCCAGTAGTAGAGCTGTTGAGAAGAGCAAGGGCGACGGACTTTACATTGACAAACGCGGAAAATTCAGAAGCTTCAATAACAAGAAACTGTCTAGGAAACGATGTAATCACAACATTGTACTCATTTTGTTGTCTTAGCAATAGATGTTATCTCGCATACGTACATCTTCAACAATGCATACCATCTTCTTTGTCTAGGTGGTTCTCTAAGGGGCCGAGGATGGAAATATGGATCGGGGTTTGTGGACGGAGTTTTCCCTGTGATGAGCCCCACTGGTCAGCAGATTCTGGACTTTGTGCAGAAGGAAGTCGATCGAAACAGTATTTGGGAAATTCTTGACACTCTTCCAGCCTCTCATACCATATGGGACGATATCATTAACGTAGCTGTTCAGCTTCGTCTCAACAAACAGTGGGGTTCCATAATCTTGGTGAGAAACTAGCATCCCTTCGTATTGATATCATTGCTCCCTTCCTAAAATTCCTTTGGAGGCTTTTTGTTTGTTAACTCCGTCTGTGTAAGTTTATCTTACATTGCCGGTCCCAAGCCCGGGTAAAGGAGGAGGGGGAGGGCGTCAGGTAGTCGACAGCCGGCACTCCTCAATTACGTCGAATCCTTATGAAAATGAATCCATAATGAAATCGCACAATGGCGTTCTAAGATTCATATAGCCAACCCCCAGGCTTTTTGTTTGTTGCTATTCTTATTCTTGCACTCCGTGACGCTCGACTTTCAACTTGATATTTTTGAGTGTAATGTTGTGATCATCTGTCCAGATATGTGAGTGGATATTGTACAAGAGCTCCTTCAAGCCAGATGTCATCTGCTACAATTTGCTTATCGACGCTTATGGGCAGAAGTCGCAACATAAAGATGCAGAATCGACATATTTGGAACTTCTTGAAGCTCGATGCATACCTACTGAAGACACCTATGCCCTTCTTTTAAAGGCCTACTGCAAGTCTGGGTTGTTCGATAAGGCTGAAGCCATATTTGGCGAAATGCGGAAGTATGGTCTTCCACCAAGTACGCTTCCGCTCCAATTTGTAGCCGTTTATATATATAAATGTTTGATTCTCAAAAATCAAAAGCTTGTCCCAGCTTGTTAGTTTATCAGATGTGACCGATTGCATTTCCTTCATACCAAGTACAATGTGAAGTCATGCAAAAAAATCCTAATTTTACTCAGGTGCAATTGTGTTCGATGCTTACATCAACGGGTTACTAAAAGGCGGAGACCCTCAAAAAGCAGTAGAGATCTTTCAGAGGATGAAGAGAGATCAATGCCAGCCATCTACTGAGACGTATACGATGCTAATCAATTTATACGGAAAGGTGAGCCTTGCTGCATTTTCTCCTAGTCTCTGTGAGCTTCAAGTCCTATGCTTTTCTATGACCTTATGCTGGTTAAGTTCCACAGCGTCAGATAACTAACAAGAAAATGTCGTTTACTTGTTAAACAATACGATAGAAATCTCCTCAAGATTTATGGTTTGTGCAGGAAAGGAAATCTTTTATGGCTCTAAAGATGTTTCGAGAAATGAAAAGCCAGAAATGTAGACCCAACATATGCACGTATACAGCTTTGGTAAATGCATTTGCGAGGGACGGACTTTGTGAGAAAGCGGAAGAAATTTTTGAGCAGATGCAAGGAGCAGGGTATGAGCCTGATGTGTATGCGTACAATGCCCTTATGGAAGCTTACAGGTTAGTATCTGATGAATTCTGTAGTTTAATTTGAGCAGTTTGATCAAGTACAACTGTACAAAACTTCCATTGTATGATAAGCAGCACTATAAACCCGAACTTCTATAAGAATTCGCTACCTACAGTCGTGCAGGGTTTCCTTACGGAGCTGCAGAAATTTTCTCTCTAATGCAGCACATGGGATGTGAACCCGATAGAGCTTCGTATAATATCATGGTAGATGCATATGGGAGAGCTGGTCTTCATGAAGGTAAACATTAACCATTAGACCTCATACTTTTCACTCATTTCCCTTGAAATAATTTGATTTTTACTCATTTCACTTGAAGATGAGATGAAATTGTTTCGAGGCACCATTGTGATTGCGATTGAAACTAATATGACAGAGTCTGTTTTCGTTCGCTACATTCTAAATCCTATTGTCTTCACCATGTTATCTTTTTTCTCTGTATGCATATCAGATGCACAAGCTGCGTTTGAAGAGATGAAGCGGTTAGGAATAACCCCGACAGTGAAATCCCATATGCTACTTTTATCCGCCTACACCAAAGCTGGCAACGTATCAAAATGCGAGGACATTGTGAACCAGATGCAAGAGTCCGGGGTGGAGCTAGACACTTTCGTCATTAACAGCATGTTAAATCTGTATGGCCGGTTAGGCCAGTTAGAGAAGATGGAGGAAGTTTTGACAGCAATGGAAACAGGACCCTACGCAGCTGATATCAGTACATACAACATCTTGATTAACATATATGGACGGGCAGGATTTTTCGACAAGATGGAAGAGCTCTTTCAGTCGCTTCCACTCAAAAACTTGAAACCGGATGTTGTGACATGGACTTCGCGTCTTGGAGCATACTCGAGAAAGAAACTATACACGAGATGCTTGGAAATTTTCGAAGAAATGATTGATGCCGGTTGCAATCCAGATGCCGGAACTGCCAGGGTACTCCTTGGAGCGTGTTCAAGCGACGATCAAACCGAGCAGGTTAGTACTGTTATTAGAAGCATGCACAAGGAGGTCAGGACTGTTTTACCTATCTGATGGATGGATTTTGTAAATACTGATCATGAAGTAATACATCTTCTCATCCTAACCGTCCATCTCTTCATCAAAATCATCGCAAAGGATTAGACATTAAGAGCATTACCAAAGAAGATGTCAAAATGTCCACATAAGCTATAACGGTAAAAAAAAAAAAACCACACTAATGTTTTCCAACCTAAATGTCAAATCCTATGTGGTGATGACATGGATTGACAACAACTTCAAAATTAATTATGAAAGCTTTTTATTAATTTTTTTATTGGTTTAATCATCATTGCAATTAATGTTGTTGTTGACCCGTTTCTCTTTTGTTCAATCGAGGTAAATGAACGGTCACCTCTTATTAAAAAGAAAAGGTGAACGGTCTAAATTTCATAATTATTAAATGCCTTTTATTAAGTTTTTATTAATTTAATCATTTATTTTATAATATAATAAAATAATAATTTAATTTGACATATCGGGTGGACAATAAAACTTTAAAAGATGTCAAAATGCCACATAGGCTATTAAATTTAAATTTTATGTTCAAAATTTGACATCTTCGTTGGAGATGCTCTAAGGTGTGCTCATGGCTAAATTGCTCAAGCTCCATATCTTCTCTATGTGACTGAGGGTAACTGCAAGAGGGAAGTTAGCATGCACGAATAACTGTTACGTTGTTAGATTGTCAATTCGACCACTCCACCAACTTGGATGTCTATTACTCTGTTTTCCACCTGTGTTTTGAGTATCACTCGAGAGTATGACAAACATTTCATGTGTACGAGTAATGAAATTTCCAATCTCACAACACAAAACATGTTCAACAGAAAAATTATGGCCCATATCGACCATAAAAAGAAACGGAAGCGATTTTCGCAGTCTATCCATTTTAAGTCATAAGCAAGGGAAAAACAAAAATGTCACAAGTGACCATACTTTCAATAAAATGATAATACAATAATTTCCACTAGTGTTAAAAATACCATGGTTTTACAGAATTTCCAGGCAACCATTGATATCCAATATAAAAATTAATTAATAATAATCCGACACGATCACTCTGCCACAGTGACACACACCAACTTCGACCTATTAGGTGTTTTGATGAATTGACACACCATCTCCATTTATTTTAGAGAACTGTTAAACCCACCCCGTTGTCTTATTTCACCACCCACGTTATATTTACACCCACTATAAAAAGTTAAAAAATTAAAATGTTATTTTCCCACCCACTATTATTCCTAAAATAGCCCTATATATAATTAGAGATAAATTTCTTTAAAAAAAAAAAGAAAATAAACAAACCTTCTAAAAATAGGAAAAAAAAAAGAAAAAAAAACCATGTTTCCTTTCCAAATTCCAATTTGAGTGTCCTTTTCGAGATGCATACCAATTTGAGTGTCCCTTCCAAATTTTCCCTAACCTAATTAAAACAATTCCAACGAATTCTAGGAATTCTCATAGGAAAACATGAAACAAATTGTATCCTAACCTAATGCAAATTCAAATAAAAAGTCACAAAGCTATGCTTCAATTATTCATGTCGACAAATCAAGATGGTCCACATAAAATTATCTTTTACATGTTCGACGGAAACATAGTCATCTACTTGTTCCATAGAAATGTCATCTTCTAAATTCATTCTTTTTGCTTTCTCTGAATGATTTTGCTTTCTCTGAATGAAAGGGGATGAAAAGGATGAGTTAGGGTTTATAGGAGACAAATTTTCTAAACTTTTCTTTTCTTTTCTTTTTTTATAAAAAAAAATTAATGCAAAAAGGAGTAAGTAAGGTCCCTATTAGTCATTTTACAAATGGATAAATTTGTAATTAAAAAATTCATAAAAAGGTGGGTGGGGAAATAAGACACTGGGGTGGGAATATCACCACTCTTATTTTAATATTTTTTCCCGAAATGTATTCTCAAATATTCGCTTCTATATATTTTAATTTAGTGAGATTTTAGATGTGATTTTTAGTTATGAATATTCTTTGATTGAAATCTTGTTGGTTTTCAATTTTTTATCGGAGTCCCTGAAATTAATATCATCATTTATTTCTATGTATGACTATATTTTTTAAATTAAAATTTGAAATTTATACTTGTTTATATTAATGAAATTTTAAATAAAAAAACATAATTTGTGGAAAAAAATAATAAAATATAAATTATACTATTGTGTGTCTGTATATATACATACTAGCACATGGGCACACACAAAGTATGTGAGAAATTTTTTTTTTTTTTGAAATAGAAGGAGAGAGAAAGAGAGTGATAGAGAATGTGGAAGTGGGATGTTTTTTTAATTTTTTTAATTTTTTAATTTTTTTTAATTAGAGATATGTTATGATTACATGTAGGTAAGGCTTTGAAAAAAAAAAGTAAAATTTGATTGTGTGAAATTACATTTCTGCCCTATATTTCTTAATCATGTTTTAATTAGAGGGTTAAACTAGTAATTTGATAGGATTTTGGTTGACAATGAGTGTTTTATTAATTAGTAGAGATAAACATGGGTACATTCTTCAAAATCACAAAAAATTATTGTATCAAAATATGGGTACATTCTTCAAAATCACAAAAAAATAAAAGATATTAGGCTTAATAACATTAGTAAATTTCTTTGATTAAACTTAACATAAATACATTCTCAAATCAAACAAAAAAGAATGTACCATATAAGTTTAAAAATGGATTACAAAAAAAAAATGAATAGATTTTATATAAAAAACTGTTACATCTTACATATAACAAATTGATATAAGATTACATTTTAAGATTAAAAATTTGAAAAAATTACATGAATGGGTACATATAAGATTAAAAATTTGAATTAAAAAACAAAGCTAATGGGTACAAACTTATTCTAATTTATTTATTTATTTTGGAAGTGTTTTGAATTGAAAATTAGTTAGGAGTTTAATAAAGGCTTAAGTATTAAAATTCTAAATCAATTATTAATTTTTATTTTAAAAAATTATGTAAATTCATTATTACATTAATACTAGAGACTTGAATCAAAATCTGAAATCAATGAACATTATTAACTAGAAATCAGAAACTAATTTTTCCTTTAATTTATTTCCAAACGTATCATAATTCAACAAAAAAAAAATTAGAGAAAGTGGAAAGAAATTCAAAAGCACATCCACCACCCCCGCTATATAAAAAAGGAGTGAAGGTTTTATAATAAAAGAGAAAGAGTTTTTCTGTTGGATTTCACAAATGGCTTCAAGGTTGCTGTGGGCATCAAGGGCTGCTTCCTACCTCAGAATCCAAACCGGCCACAGAGGGTTTGCTTCTGGTAAGCTAACAAAAACCCCACAAACTTCCCACTTTCCTTGGATCATCTTTTCATTTTTTTCCGATTTGCTTTATTGTTTATGCAATGATCTTTGAGAAAGATGAATGCTTTTGAACATGGGTTACTTGTATTTTCTTGATTAATGCTGGGATTATTGAGAATTTGGTATTTTGTAACATGGGTTTTGGTGTTGGTGATGATGTGGATCTCTGTTTGTTGAAATGCCTGATCTATGACTGTTGCAGCAAAAGATTTGATTTTTCCAGATGGGTTGCGTGGGCTTTTGTCAAATGGTTTGATTTGATGTCGGTTGTGGATTTAATCTTCAAGAGGTTGATGGGTTTGTGCGTCTTTTGCATCTTTTGATGTTAGTGAGGTATAATATCTGTGCATTGCGATTCAACAGTTTTGATTGATTAGAATTGGATTCAGCTGTGAAATGCTGTGAAATTGTGAATGGTGTTTGACAGGTACGTATTAGGGAATTTCATTTTGTTCGTTTGAATTACAAGTTCGTGTGTAGATAAATATATCGTTTGTGTATTACTTTGAATGAGCAAAAATTTACGTAGGAAGTAAAGGATCTCTCTTTCTGCCTCTTGTTGCAACTTTGCTTGTAAAAAGCAATTAAAACACTCTCGGAGTGGGTTTTCATGACCAATAAAGCAGTATTTTTGTTCTGTTTTTGCAATGATATTATCTGATGAGGTATGGTGTTCATTTGGGCATAACGCTAATTCTACATTGTTCTATTCAAAGCTCAGAAAGAAGTGTTATTAATGTGTTGATAGATGGAATTATGTAATTAGATTCAGGTTTGGATTTGCAACGGGTAAAATTTCTGTAGCTTTGTGGTGGTTTCAGCTTTTATTTTTCTGTTTACTTGCAGTTGTGAAGGATCTCAAGTATGCCGATTCTCATGAGTGGGTTAAGGTTGATGGAAACTCTGCAACTGTTGGAATAACCGATCATGCTCAAGATCATTTAGGTGATGTTGTGTATGTTGAGTTGCCAGAAGTGGGGGCTTCTGTGAAGCAGGGCGAAGGCTTTGGAGCAGTCGAAAGTGTCAAAGCAACTAGTGATGTTTACTCTCCTGTGTCAGGGAAAGTGGTTGAAGTCAATGAAGAGCTTAGCAACTCACCTGGTTTGGTAGGTACCCTTATCCTATATTAGTTCTATAGGCGGTATGGTGATGCCCAGGTTGCATTTGTGTGCAATTTTTACTACTTTTGTTGTCATTATTAGTATTTTGCTACGTTGTAATTTGGGTAAGTTCTTATATTAAGAATTAACATTTTGAATATTATTGATGCCCCATATTTAGATGAGAAGTCATGAAAGGACTTCTTTGTAATCTCTTGAAAGGTTAAAGTAAACAAAGTCAGTTCTAAATGACTATTTCGGTTTTAAGCTCATCCACTTTCCACTGTTGGACACAAACACAATCAACGCTTGGATAAACATTAGAAGACACTTGCAACTAATAGGTTTATTGGTGTTAGTTTAAAGTTACTGGCCATTTGAGAAATTTTTAATTATCTCTTCAAGTTTTATCCCCAACCATTAAAAGTCTTTGTCTTTGAAAGTGATGCTTTTGTTAAACTATGTATGCGCTACGAACATCACTTCATTATAGACACATCAGAAAAGATTCCTCACCAGTCACCCCCTTGTGTCTTTATGTGTTAACGTTTGATTCAATTTTTGTGAACTAGATCAACGCAAGCCCATATGAGGAAGGATGGATAATGAAAGTTGAGATCAGCGATAGTGGTGAACTGAATAAGTTGTTGGACTCAGAAAAGTACACCAAGTTTTGTGAAGAAGAAGATGCACACTGATTGATCCTGGCCAATGGCAGCAGGCGGTTCTCACGGATGGGTTGCTTCTGCACAGAATGTAACAGTGGTAGTCAAAACTGCAAATTCACCTTTCTACTTTTATGCTATGTTTTTCCTCCGCTTTTCTTCCGCATGAGTAATCAATTTTAATCGGATTTTTGTTTCGATCTGGATAATGAATTGTAAGTTCTGTCGTTCTCCTATTCGGTCTGTCCATTGATGTTGTAGCAGATCTGGAATTTTGTGAAATGTTCATTATTGAGAATGAAGTGCAACAAATTGAAGAGGAATAATTTCAAACATGTTTTTGGAAGTCAATTGCGATGTGAATACTTTTTTCGGGGTTAAGCTACAAATGAGATAGATTCAGTAAACAGCAACGAATTGCTTTATGAGTTTGAGTCGCATCTTTTCTTACAGTGGTGGGCAAAATCCAGATTGATGGTGGAATGTTCGCCTTTGGACGATCGATGCAGTACTGGTATGTTTCCGTTCTTCTGTTTTCCAAGTTGAAGACACCCCTGTGAAGGGGCCCTTGAGGTTCTCCATTAAGAGGACTTCCCAGTCATCAGCGACGAAGTATATGCATTTCGGCTGACACCCAGGGAAATCTAAAGCGGACATGGATGCACGGTAATCGGAAAACAAAGCATCATTTCCAACCGTCGTCCCCCGACTTAAAATGAGCTACATTGCGTCTAGCATGATCAAAGACTACCAGAACTTCATAATCATTTGGAAACAAACAACGGTCAGCAGACAATAAAACTCTGGTAATGTAGTGTTCACATTCAAAAGTTTCCGCCAGTGGTGGGACTTCCGTGACTGGTGGAAGGCGAATGGTGCGTCCGGTGAAAGGGTTTAAGAGCGTTATTGCCAAACTGTCATCCGCAAAAGCCAGCCAACCGTGGGAAGAACCGCAACACCACTTCTTGTAAGGCACATAGAACTCAAAGTTGCAAGGCTTACCTTGCGCGACGCTGTACAAGCCACGCCTTTCGTGGCTGTTGTGTTTGGTAGGAATCATGAGCATAGGAAGCTGGTTGTGGCGTGATTTGACACGCTGCTATTGCGATGCAAAGTTACTGATTCCCAATGCTTGCAGACCGCGCTAAACCGGATATGGTCAGAGATTGGTATCAAATTTTCTAGGATCGAATCCAGAACATGGCTCTTGAGCCGTGCCCTGCCTAAAGTCGAGGGCCTCGATGCGTCTTCCAGTGGTAGACATGACCTTTTTAGGCATGGATTTCGATCATTGACTACCTATGAGGGATGAGGGGAGGAGGCTATTCTTCGTAGCCTATGGATTCCTTAGGCATGATCGACATTGTTGAATTGTAGCTCTCGTTGGTTACAAAGTGGAAAACTCTCTCAGTTCAGCAAAACCAATGAAAGGTTATGACTCTTTTTCCTTGTATGGTTCAATATGGGCAAAGTACTAATGAAAAGGACAGTGAAATCCCACCCATATGCTACTTTTATCCGTTGAAAATAAATCCCAAATTGATGGGATGAGTAACTTTTATGGGCTTATAAATAAGTTGGGCTGCTCTTCATGAGGGTATTGCCTTAAACCTCAAGACTTTCGCCTAGGCAGGGCTATCTATGAAACGCCTTGGCTTCTCCTTCGCCTTTTAAAACATTGCTCCGGACACATGGGAATGCTCGTTATGTTTGATATCGGTTAAGGTTTTCCCCTTAAACTTGCTATTGTGCATTCTCCTACTTTTCTCTGCAGTACTGTGTTTTAATTACCACATACTTTTTTGTCATCAAATTTTTCTGTAGTTTAAGTGTTCATACTTCATATTATTATTACTATCTTCAAAGGTATGCACATTGGAAGCTCGACGTCCTTATTCCGACATTTGAGGCTTACATTTACGATTGCAAACAAATGAAAGCTTCAAATTATTACATCAAATGGAAGAGGCAATAAAGAACAAAATGGAACTGTATTTTCACACCATGGTGGGCAAAATCCAAATTGCTGGCGGCATGTGCTTCTGTGAACGATCCAAGCAGTAATGCCTTCCCATGCTTTTGTTTTCTATGTCGAAGACACCCATGTCATGAGGCCCTTTAGGTTTATGACAAGCAACATCAACACAATCATCGGTGAAGTATATGGAATTTGGCCGACACCCTTGAAAGTCCGAGGCAGAGACACACATCGATTGATTTGTACCCAAAAACAAAGCATCGTTTCCGATACTCTCAACCTCAACCCATTGGGGTCTATCCTCATAAGAAGAGAACAGCTTAAAAACCTTGAAGCTCAGAGTCTCCGTAAAACGATCATAACCATTTACTTGTTCAAACTCCAGCTTTTCAAACTTGAAAAACTTGAAGCTCAAAGACTTCATAAAGCGCTTACAATAATTCAATCTTCGGAACTTCCTAATCAGCAATAGATCTCCCCGGGACGATTCGGCTAGGCATGTTTTGTTATCAGTACCAGGAGACATCGGTACAACAACGCTTACATGGGGTTTAGCAGTTTGGTCACTACTAACATTAATCGAAAAAACACTGCCATCCAAACTAACAGCAAGAAACTGACCCTTGTAATAAATCACATCATCGAATCCGATCACTTGATCTATGCAAGTCCAAGCTTCATCCCCTGACTTAATATGTGCTATTCGTTTTCCGTAACCATCATAGATGACCACAGCTTCATAATCATTTGGAAACAATGAAGGGTTAGCAGATAATACAACCTTGTTAATGTAGTAATCACATCTAAAAGCAGCCCTTGCTCTAGACGCGGATACGGGGACGGGAGGAAGGCTAATGGTACGCCCGGTAAAAGGGTTTAAGAGGGTTACTACCAAATTGTCATCGACACAGGCCAACCAACCGTGGGAAGAACCGCAGCACCTCTTACTATAGGGCACATGCAACTCAAAGCCGTAAGTCTTACCTCGTGTGACGCTATACAGGGAACGCCTTTTGTTGCTGCTGTCCTTAGTCGGAACCATCAGCATTGGAAGCTGGTTGTGACGTGATTTGACGAGGCGATGCTGCTTGTGATGTAACGCAACTGATTTCCAATGCTTGCAAACTGCACTAAACCGGATATAGTCAGAGATGGGTATCAACTTTTCTAGTATCAAACCCAGAATGTCGTCCGGAAGCCATGCCCAGCCTGCGACTGAGGTCGACGCTTCTTCCATGGTGCTGCATTATTTAAGCCTGGATTGGAACTCCATCTCATTGATAAGGTACCATCTAGGAATCAAAGGAGGCTTGCCATTGGTGAGTTGTCCTCCTCTCCGTTACGGCAAAACCGATGAAAAAATATGATTCATTTTCCTTGTATATCTGTTCAGTGCGGCCATGTTTAATTTAAAATCTTTTTCCTTGAATATATTATATGGTTCAAGATGGACATAATTTAATTTATTATTTAATAAGGTTCCAAAAACATAATTTAATTTATAATTTAAGAAGGTTCCAAAAGTAACAAGCTAGCTGGCCTGTATAACATAATAAACATCACTAATTACCTATCTCAATAATTGAGGTATAGAAGATTTGATTGTAATGGATAAACTACTATTTTGAGATATTTTGAAGAAACAAGTGAAAAAAAATAAATGCGGCAACTTGAGGTAGGATAATCCTCCCTAAAATGGTAGGATTAGAAGCGAGAAGTTTCTTTCATGTCTATCCGTTCCTAATCTCCTCAAAATGAAAAATCCTCCTCCTCTATATCTTCAGTATACCTTGAACTTAGAGGGCTATCAATTCCAATCAATTCTAGACACCAAATGACGCCAATGCTCTCTTCCGGCCTCCTTGGCTAAAATTTTAGAAAGCTCGAAAAGTAACAAACCTTACTTATAACATCATAAATTGTTTATATACAATGCAGAGAATTAGAAAATAGCATCATAAAACTGATCCTGTCTTAAGTTTTTAGCTAAAATCTATCTCTAGTCTTGACCAATGGGGTAGCAGCAGGCACTTATCACGAATGGGTAGTCAATTTCTTTTGTACACAAGGGAGAATTATGTAACATGGGAAAAGAAGTCAACGAGTGCAAAATTTCCCTTTCTACTTTTATTCGATTTTTCAACATGTGAGGTTTTACATAGATTCACAAATGAATTCAACAAAATAGAGCTTTTATTAGAAGATATGAGGATTCAAATGTCCAGGGATGGAGTTGTTGCTTTGCTCAGCCTGCTTTAGATGCATTGTCAAGGCATAGTTGTTCACTTCTAGTGTTCTACACTGCTCCTGATACTGCGACACAAGCTGCTTCACATGCTGGAGTTCCCGGTTCCTCTCTGCATATTCTTTCAAACGTTCGTGCTGGATAGCCACAGCCCGTTTCAGGATAGTATTCTCCCACACCTGTCCTTCAATATGTTGTTTCATCATCATATTTTCCTTTTCGAAACTTTTAGCTACCTCAGCACCAGCGCGTGCACTGATTGATTTTTCTAAATCCTGTAGAAATTTAGCAGCACGAGACCTAGCATCATCCACACTAAAGGCACTCATCATTTCCCTTATAAAAAATTCAACCCATTCCGCACCATCTGCAGGCAAGTTGCTTGCAACTGATGGATTATCCATAGTGGCTGCATCTTCATCATTAGCCAATACACCGTTAGCTATAGTATCAGCTGGTTGTTCAAGATCAACAGATGCGGAAGTCTCCTCCCCGGATCCTAGGCAAAGCTCATGCAGCCTCTTGATGGCCGCATCAATATCGTCACCACATTCTTCCAATGCTCTCTCAAGAACGTGAGGGTCCATGTGAGAGAAAAGAGTGCGAAGCTGATGAGAATATATGGATCAAAGAAGCGACTGGGCGTAGTAGTAGAAGACGAACAGCGAAGCCTCTTTGTAAGGGCTGGCGACGGAGGATGCCTCTCTGTGGGGTGGCTATTGATCTTCGAAGAAGGACCTCTTTCTTCCACACACCGCCGCAGACATATATCCTTCAGTCTACCTCTTAATTGCAAACGAATCAACCAGACCACCGGTTTTGAATCCGATGATTTTACAGATAAACTAGGGTTAGGGGTTTTACGGATTAAGAGAGGGGGGGGGGGGTTGGTGCAAAGTAAAGGGTTTTTGTCTTTGGGGTTAGGGTTTCGCGTTTGGTGCTTTATTATTTGGTTTGGCCTGTGATTGTTGTTCTTTGTTGATCCTGAGTAGGAAGTATTTATATGGATCAATTGAAATCCTTGTAAGGCCAGAAGATTGTAACCTTTTCATGTTTGAATTATTATAGTCTTTCCTTGCAGGAAACGGATAGAGGTCTGAAACCCTAGATCAAGAACGGGTATACGCAACTTCTAAGGGCAATTGGGGTATTCCCTTTTATGATGACAACCAAAAGAAAAAACAAAAAAAAACAAAAGCTCTTTTCCCGTAGATTAACACGCAAACAGTAAATTTAATTTACTGCAGGTAGTGCCTTTCAAACAAAAAAATAAATAAATAAATAAATTTACTGCAGGTAGTGTGGTTAAAACTTGATCACGGGCACACGGCTGGGTTGAATGACCTTATAAGCATCCAACCTCACAAATTTGCCTTCATCTTTCATAGCCCTAAATCTCTCCATAAGAAGTAAGAATTCATGACCTTTTCCTTGTGTCGCAAGTCAAACACAAGCCCAAAATATTGCTTTTTCGATCTGGAACATTATAATTTGAAGAAGAAGTTGAATTGTACTTGAAATTCTTGGAATTCAGCCGGATCCCTTCGGACATGTCATCGAACTCTTGGTTGTTCAAATACTGGATGATGATGTTGGAGTTTTTGAGCTCCTTTGGTCCCACATCGGGGAACTCAAGGGAACTTGAGGTCCTTATATTAAGTTAATCACCTTCATTAGTCTTTCCAGAGAGTAAACACACAAAGCAAATTCGCTAGAATTCTATAATCCAGTGCGGGTTGTAGAATTAGGTAGTTGTATTCTGGTCGAGCAGACGTTGTAGAACCACAAGCACAATAGTGAGACGAAAATACTGTTCGAATGACATAGCTTTTGCGCTAGCCTCAACCTGTAGTTAATCAAGTTAGTACTATTTTAATTCCTGTATTTATTTATGTATTTCATTATGTATAGCAAGTATTTGTGATTAATAAAATATTAGAATTTCAAGTTCTGTTATTTCTGTTATTTTTATTTATTTCTGAATTGTTCTCTAACAGGTGATATTAGTCTTTTTCCGAGCTTGCGCAATTTTTGAAAAGCCGAGCTGAAGGGCTGATCTTGTCTTTCAAGTACAGATCTAACGCAGTGTAGACTTTGTTACATCCAGTGATAAGCAAAGTTTGAAGAATCCGTCAAGGACCGAAACGAGAATTCGTATCATGGGCAGTAAGAAGTACTCCATGGCGTAGGACCAAACAAGTTTCAGATGAGCAACCATATTGGAAGGACAAGCTGGAGTTACCTTTCTCATAGAATCCATATTCACAAAATCTGCAAACTTATGGAAACTAATCCCATAAATAAACCTGAATTATTATCAATTAAACCTTCTGAAGAACATAAAAGGAAAATTATGATTTAGGAAACCTAATTTAGAAATTATCATAAAATAAAGAGATACCTGAGTGATTAGGTGTAACTTCGGTTTTTTAGTTTCATAAATTATCACAACGAATCGTTGAGATTTCTTTAAAAATAAAAATAAAATAATTTATTATAATGAAAGATTTTCATTTTTGTTAAGCAAAAATTGACAGGTAGTCTATAATGTCTTGTTAAAACCACTTGAATGATTCAAAATCGACTAGTGCCCATTTAGAATTATTTTAAGGAGAGCCAAAATCACACTTGACGGAAATGTGCTTCTCTATAAATCACTTGAAAATCAATTGATGCAATTTTATGAATGCATTGTCAAAATTGGTCCAAGGTTCATATAATGGGCCCAACCCGACCCATATTATCATGCCAATAAGTCGATTTAGAACCATTCCTGTAAGCATTGCACAAGCCTATGGTTAGCTTACCTGCGAACTAATCATAATTAGGCAACTTAATTATCATCAGAATACTGACGGCCATAAAGATATCATCCTTATTGGAAAAAAAAAAAAATTCTTTGTATTATTATAGTCGAATTTTTGCAGTTTTGAATCCTACAATGATCTCTCACAAATCCCACTCTTTTGAAAAAAATGATAATTATAATATAATGATGGTTGCTTAATGTCCAAACCAAGTATGTCTTCCACCTCATAAAACAAGGAGTGCAGACTTCAAATATACGCACACGACATAGCAACACAGCTTGAAAGATGAACAAGTACACTATGGCCTTCCACACTAGATTGGAAAAAGTGAGTGTGATGTCGATATATTGAGGTCATATAGAAATCACACTTTAAGTCGGAAAATTTGAGTGGGGCCATCTTACTTTGCTCCATAACTATTGCAACACTCTCCTCGCAGTCTCAGCATACAGGTTCAACTTGTGGAGAATGTTGAGATTCTTCAGCAGTTCTTCTTCATTGGAGCCCTCTTGATCCTTCTTGGAAGTAGAGTTTTCCAATCGGCTCAACGACAAATTAAACCTCATCAAAGTTGATGATCTTGGTCAAAGCAGTCTTGTAGTATCCCTAGGAATGAACTCATGAGTGTGATATCAACATCTTAAACTCACACTAGTGTAGTAGAATTGTTACGTGTATAAAACTTAAGTCGCTTGATTCGTATATATAGGTATCACGCTCACTCAAACTATTGTGGAAGACCTAACGAATATCTTGTAAGTCAAACTGTTCATATAAATATTGTAACAAATTTAATATGTGGGAATATCATGCTTGCCACTGATTAAGATGTTTAGATATAATAATATATATGGTCTTAGGTTCAATCATGTGTTCATGCTATCTACTCAAACTCAAGTGATTGCTACTAAAATGTACTTCAAAGCAAAATGATTTTAATATCTATTATCTTACCAAAGGGTATAAATTCATTTATTTTCTATTTTTTTTATATTGAGGCATTTTTCACATGTTGTCATATTCTTACCTATGATGTAATAATTTTAAAGAAGTTATTTTATTTTTGTAACAAGTTATTTAACCAAAATTTAATCAAAATCAAGCTATATTTAACCAAAACTTAATCCAAATACAAATTTGACACAAAATTTTCATTTAAAAGCCACATTGGAAAATTGAGAATTTGCCAAAGTAATGCAAGCAAGAAATACTTTTAACTACTTGAACTGCAAATC